GACAGAAACTGTGGTGTCTAGGATCAAGCCTTTTAGTCTCAGCCAATATCTTCCAACCTTTCCAGGGTGTTACAAGGCCTGACTAATTATTTCCACTTGTTCTGGATATCACAGACCCTATACCCAGTCCACTTGTTAAAAAACCTCTTTCCTATTGTAATATTTCCAGTTTCTACCACACAGTCACCAGTTCATCATGCTCCATATATTTCTTGAGAACATACCATAATGTCCTCATTAAGTTATGTTTTTATAATATGTTGAGTGACCACATAATTTGCCATTCATACCAGAACATGCTAAAGGAGGTGGTATTAATAATCATGACAAGGCAATGGATACAACTGCTTAGGCTCCACAGAAGCAGACCAAGTGACTTCTTAGGATAAAATCCCAGGAATACCTGGTGGAGGAGTGTTGGGCAGAACTGTGACAGGAAAGAAGCCAAGAAAATTGCCACATTCAGTGAAGTCTCCTGGGAGTGCGGACCCAACAAATACAAGACACCCAGGCACCTTGATTTTAATTTAAGGAATTTAATTTTTGTGCGTGTGTGGTATAAGTATGTCCCAAATATTGCACAGAACATACTTATAATTTAAAAAAAATTATTTCCTAGGCATTTCGTACTTTTGCTAACTTCTGCAACCCTACCCAAGAGGTCTCTGGAGAGAGAAAGAATGTGGCTAGTGCCGAAGAGGGCCACAAGACAAGGAGCTAGGGTATTTGAAGCACACATCAGTCATTAAGTGCAGTTCTGGGTGAATATAAATTTCCAGACACTTCCAGCTCCCTGTGTACCCAGGCAAAGCAGGTCACTGGAGTCTGAGAGTACCCTCCCACAAAGAGACACAAGTGCTAGCTGGCAGGACAGAAGCCGCTGCCCTGAACAAAGATGGCAAAAAAGAGCAGTGCAGGTACGGGCAGAGCAGTGACAGGAAAACTGACAGGGCCCGCGGTCTATGCTTATGGCCTGAAAGAGCTCTTGTCACAGAGGAAGAAACACTTTTTGGAACTGAAAGGTAATGGGACATTTCCAGAACACTAGAAAAAGTGTTCTGTAAGAACACACCCTCTCACACACTCACAATTTTACATCTCAACATATTACCTTGCCACAAAAATTAACTGAGACATATATTCTCCATTTTCCAGATATGGAAATGAATTTATTCCCTACAGTCTGTTTTAACTTGACAGAAAGTAAAAGATCATGAAATGAAGCTTCTTGCTTTGTTTTCAAATTTAGCCATTTGTGATATATTATCATTCCCAAAATGGAACTGACGTGCACATGACTTGCACACTACCTGAAAATAAATTGGAACTTCATGTGGTACAGAAGGTGATGGTTCCCAGGCAAGACTGAAATAATTCAGAACACAAGACAGAACTTGAAATAAGCTTCCATTTCCTTTTAGGTTCTTGTGGTAACTTCATATCCTGAGCTTAATGTATAGGTATCCTAGGTAATTAGGATGCTAGCTACTATTGGAGTAACTTTCCTCTTTCCCTAGGGACTTGTACAGTTAAATCACTCTAAAAGTTAACTATAGTTTTCTGACTCCTTGAGGTAAGTCAGGAAGTAGCATAAGGAAAATTTGCCTCCAGGCCCAAAGAAGGCCTTTTTCTATAATATATAATGCCTAATTATTCAAGAGATATGAAGATGACTGTTTTACATAGATAATTTATAGTTTCTATTCTACAGCTGAACTTGGCCATCAGTTACGTTGTTGAATTTGTTAGCACATACATGTAACTATGTACATAGTGTGTACTGGTACAAGAAATAATTAAAAGGTAAGGTAATTACAATGAAATCCTAGACACTGCTTAATAATCCTACATAGCGTATCAAGATGTACTTGACTTTTAGGAAATATGAAAAGCAACTAAGTTCAGGACCCTAATTGGGGTATTCACCTCCTGGTAAGGTACAGTACATAGAGTCCTCTCTTTACTGCCACAGAAAACTGAAGGTATTTTTGTCATTGCAGGGTATTGAATACTTACACACAGAAAAAACAATATGGGACAAGTTTTTCTTTAATCAGAAAAAAGCCTTGGCCCTCCTGACTTATTTGATTGCATCCATGATCTTTAGTTCGGCCTGCAAGGTTCACCTGGACGTGGCCCCTGCCTGCCTCCTAACCTCACCTTCTAGTAGTCCCCTTTTTAGCACCACACACCACTACAACATACCCCAAAGTAATGCTTTATTTCTCTTCTTTTTTTGTCAAAATGGCTCCATCTCACTGGAATGTGATCACTATACAGCCCCCTTACATCCCTTGGCTAATAGCTACTTATCTTTTAATATTCTACTCAGGGTATATACTCCAGGAAATCTGTTCTTTTCCACACTTGGTTAAGTATTTCATCTAGGCCCCCCTAAAGTGCATATACTATCTTCACATCTGGATACATTGGTGAACTTTACCTACTTATATATCCCAATCCCTGGGTAAGAAAATTTTTTGGAACAGAAGATAGACCTAACTTTGCAATCTCTGAATTTAGCAGACTATCCAGGACACACAGGAATTTCAATAATAGTCTGTTGAATGAATGAATAAATGAATGGATGAGTGACTTAAAAAGACATGTCTACATCATCTTATGCGTTAAGAGTTAAAGAGACAAGGATTAACTTAACTTCTTTAAGAGTTAAAAAAGACAATTGATTAGTTTTATTGAAATCAATTAAAAATGATATTTAAAATGTCAAGCCAAATCCAAACACTCTGATATTAATGAAGCTGACTACTGAAACTGAAAATCAGTAAGTACTACAGATGGTAAGAAAATGTCAAGCTTTCAGTTTAAACACAGCTTTTCATTCTAAGTTGATATTTAAATGAGGCTATAATATAGATAATTATTAGCTGATAGATTTATGAAATAATGTACTAGTTCTACAGCTAAATGAAAACATGAATTTCACTGTAGAACTTTTTATAGGTCTAACATTAACAAAGAGAACAGTATAATATACACAACTTTTATATCCCATTATAAATCAGTTTTTCATATTCATATATATGTGTTTAGATAAAAACATACAGATGAATGATTATAGCAATTTTACTGTGAGGATAAAATGGTAATTATTTTTGTATACATGTCTATATCATCTTAAGCCTTAAGAGTTAAAAAGACAAGGATTAAGTTAACTTCTTTAAGAATTAAAAAAGACGATTAGTTCTATCAAAACCAATTAACATTATTCTTGTATACATGTCTACATCATCTTATGTGTTAAGAGTTAAAAAGACAAGGATTAACTTAACTTCTTTAAGAGGTAAAAAGGACAATTGATTAGTTTTATAGAAATCAATTAAAAATTATATTTAAAATGTCAAGCCAAATCCAAACACTCTGATCTTAATATTTTAAATTCCCATGAAAAGAAAATTTCATTTAGTTTCATCAGAAAAAGCTGCCTAAGACCAGCAAACTTAGAAATGTATTCTAGCAATCAAGGACTCTGCCTATCATCAAAGCATTAGAACATTACTCTCTGTTGCTATGTAATTAGAATCTGGTAATTGTCATTTTGCACCTAAATTAAATTCTTTGAGGCACTTTAGATGATAAGTCTAACATTTAAATAATGCTTTTCATCTTTAACATAATTTATAAACATGAGTTAAGTAATTTCTCCAAGTAGCCATTTGAAAATTTTATCTCCCTTGAAAGTGATTATGCCTAAAATTTCTACTTCATGGCATTGTACTAAATTTTGCAACCATTACATTTCATAAGTAAACTAATCCATCATTTTCTTCCCAATTACCATTTACTTTGATACTAAAGGAGACAGCATTAGATACTTAAATAGTAATTTTACCAGAGACTTAGAAGAGTAGACAGTTTTATCCTTCATATATTCTAGTTCTTGTACTTAGACGGAGTATTTCCAATGGTGCAGTTCTATTCCTTGGAAATAAAGTGGACAATGGTCTTTTATACCTGGTTCTTTAGTAGAAAAAAATGTTCACCACTCAAAATAACACTTAGGTGCCATATTATTGGTGAAATGAAAGGAAGAACTATATTTTGTAATATTTTTCTGGTTGCACTGAGTGAATAGACACACATTCAGACAATACTAGTAATGGGGATTTATTGTGAGGATACACTGGGAAATAGGAAAGAATAAGAAACATGTTTGTATCACACTCAAAATTTCCCAAAGAAGGGTTATAAATGTCTCTTTTGTGTTCTTGGTATATGCTAAGCCATTGGCTATTAGTTCTTTGCCAAGTCAACTGGTTATAGACCAATCAAACACTGGCCAGAATGGAAGGTCACAGGTTACAAGGTATGGCAGTCTTTGTGTAAAGATTTTCTAAGTAGAGGGCAGGATAGCCATTAAATCCTTCGTAAATGTCCAAAGGGACAAAATAAACAGCAGGTATTTGGGGTTTATCAGAAAGAAGATAATACAACTATCAGTGATGGTGAAGCTTCAGGGCTTTTCCAGTATAGAAATAATAATGTATGGAGCATTTACTATGTGCGCTGTGCATTACTTATATCAGTTATTTTATTTAATCATTATAAGAGCACAGTAAAGTAAATATTGCTAACCTCATGGTACAGATGAATCCCAGAAATGTAAGGACCTTGATCAAGCTCACAACTGATAAGTATTAGAACTGGAATATCAACTGAGGTTTGGCTGACATTAAATCTAATTGTTTCCTCAATTATGCTACACTGACCTTCATAGTAATTATAAAATAAATTAATGGTCATGGTTTGCCTCTTATGCTGATTAGTCATATACCTATGACACAATCTCTCATTCTTCCTAACTTGCAGTAGATTAAAACGGAATATATTTCTCTCCTATTTGGGAGAGGGAGCGACAAAAATATATGCCCATGGATATGAAAGAAATAACTATTTTTCTTTGATTCAGAACTAATTGGAGGCAAAATTTAGGTGCCCTCAGCAAAGACAAGATCATTAGGAATACAGTTAGGGAGTACCTTGTTCTCTGTCTCTCAGGTGGGTCCTTCTTGAACGGTGCCATACTGCCCCTTCCCACTGGACAGCCAACATTCTTTGTATAGCTAGAAGAAAAATATTAATAGTTCAATTCATAGCTAAATCAAATATACCTTGGTATGCTGCACACAGCATTTTTTTCTCTATGGAACCAATTCCATGTTAATAAATACCTCTTAGAAAACCACATATAGCACCTACTGACTCCAAAAAGAATTTAGACCTTGGATCCTAGGACAGAATGTGTTGAATATTAAAAAAGGCTTCTCACCAGAACTCAGTGAAACAGTAGTAAAATAATAATAAAAAGAAACGTTTGACTTTGCTTATTGAAGAAAATCTATGAATTTTCCATATTGCAATCAAATTTTTATTGCATAGCAACCAATGGAAATGGTGGTGATGAAAGAAAAAAACTAAATAGTAACAAAAAACTATTTTGGAAGCATATTATATTTTTTTAGTGATAAAAATTTGGAAAAGTATCTTTGAACCTATAAATTGGTCTACTTAGAAAAAAGCACAGAAAATACAAAATAACAATAATGTGATTTATGAGCATTAAGGCTTTCAAATCAACCCCCATCCCTAAAAATGCCCTGCTTGGTGTATTTATTATCTAAAGAGGAAAAAGCATTTATAAAGAAGTTTTTAATTCTACTTTTAAAAATGTGTATATATATATTTATTTTCTCTGAAACATGAGAGAATATCCAGTGCTAGCTCTCATATGGGCAATCATGCCTGTTTTGTCCAGAGGTTGCTGCAAACCTAATTCTTTTTTAAGAAACCTTGTCTTTTCAGCCTATGGAATTCTGTTTAAAATGTGTTTGCCTTATGAGATAAGTAATTTAATCTGCTACTTATATTTATATAGGTCACTCTACTCCTATGACACTAAAAAGCAGTATTAGTCACTCAAGACTTTCAAGCTATCACTTCTCTGCAGGATCCCTCTGGCCAATACCAACTAACATATTCCATTCTCTGAGTCTCCTTTTTCACTTATTCTCCTAGAAAGTAAAGTTTCTATTTAAACAAAACTATAAAGTGGTTAAAAAAATGATTCCTTTGTAAGAAGAGAGTTAAATGCAAATATGGTATCTTTTGCACAAGTTAAAGGGTCAAGTGACTAAGATATCATACCAACACCTCAACTATGAGAAGGTCTTGAGGGTAGGGTCTATGGTTCAGTAACATTTCATGACTAGATGGCTGACACAGACATTTCTTCTGCTTCCACATCATGCAGGTAAGGGGACCTCTGGGGTCTTGCACTCTTGGTCCTGTCTGACAACAGGGGCATGAATCCTCTGATTTATTTGCCACAGGGTTCTATCATCTCCATCCTAGGAACTGTGAGACACACTCACTTTTAATCTTTAGACTTCACTTTCATTCTCTTCTCTCTCTCATCCCAGACAGGGCAGAGATTTTAACATCAGGGGTAGAAAAATACTGACATTGGCTGTTCAAAAAAATCTAATCCTTCTGTCATACGGAATAGTTAGAAATATTGAGAAAAGAAAAATCTATCTGTTTACATCTTAAAATATTGTCCTCATATATTTATTCAAATTGATGTCTTTTCAGCAGATATCTTTGCCCGCTGGAGACAAAAATGTCATAGAAATTGGGAACATTTGACATCTCCTTACATTGTAGATGTTTTTTAAAATCATGGCTTGTATCTTTTAAACCACATTATAAAGAACATAATGCAGTTACTGAAACATTAAATATTCAATTAATGATGCTTATTCTATTTTTATTATTATTATAGGACTAGGGTTCTAATTATTTTGAATAGGTCCTGTCATCAGGGAAATGTGACCCAACTTCAGACTCTACTCTCACTCCGAAAATACAATCCTCCCATGCTTTCCAGTCTCTTAAGCTGAACTTCCTTTCCTCATTTATTCATAGTCATTGAGTCAACAAATATTCACTGAGGTGGCAAACACTATACTAAATAAAGATTATAAAATATTATTGTGTTAGTAACAATTAACACCACCCTGCTTCCATAGAACTAGAGTCTAGTGAAAGAGACAAGTATTAACCAAATAATTACTCTACTGTGAAACTTCTATTATAATATGTGTTAGGAAAGAACATTCCAGGAAGGGAAGGGAAGGCTGCGCTGTTTGACCTGAGACCTGAAAAATGTCTCAAGACTCCTTCTCCAGTAATGAACTAGATGAGAATGGAGGAAATCATGCTCCAGGAAGTGAGAACAATATATACAAAGGCCCTAGGCTGGAAAAGAACATGGCAGGAACTATGGATCGTAAGAAGGACAAGAGAGGAGCATGGCTCGAGACGAGTTTGGGAATTAGAAATGGGTGAGAGCATTCAAGCTCAGAGGCTTTAACGTGGACTTCAGCTGGAGATTCATTGCATAGTTGAGGGTTGAAAACACCCAGTGACGTGGACATGATGGAAAATAAACTAGGGAGAGAACAAGTGGAAGCACACTAACCTGGAAGTGGCACTCTTCACTCACACTGAAAGGATGCAGAGAACTGAGACGCTGGCTTGCAAGAGGAGCAGAATGACAGGAGGGGGAAAAGCTGGAGTTCAGAAATATGTGGGAAGAGAACTGAACCTCACTGCTAATAGACTATGTAAGAGAGAGTTCATGAGAGGAAGGTGTTGTGGATGAGTAACAGATTTCTAGTCTGGGATCTCAACTGCAGAAAACAGGCTGGAAGAAGTGTTTTTAAACAGGAGAATGATGTAGGCAGTGCCTTTCCATTCATGGTCTATTTTACTCATGTGTACAAAACAGCTACTACTCTGATGGCAGGTTTTCTGTGATTTTCCATACACTTATAAGTATTCCTCTACTAAAAGTACAGTTTAGTTTGACTTAGTATCCTCTCCCCACCCCATAGGATTATTTTATTATAGAGGTGTAATCCATTCAAGAGAATCATACAGTGTTAGAAACTTACAGGACCTTAGGAAAATATTTTCTCTTTGACTAACATAAAAAACACACACACATATATATATATGTTCTGTTGGTACTTTGGAAGATAGAAATATCCTGGAATGTACGGTAGCAGCAGAAATGTATCATTTATCTGAAAACCAAATGCTTATAAATTAATAAGCATATGATCATTCTGAGAGCCTCTGAGAGTATTTTTATGGACTGGATTTCTATTATTTTTTCATTTTAATTCAATCTCACACCCTTTAAAGGAGTACAGCTAATCTTAAATCCTTGCCTTCATTCAATGTCATGGCACATCCTATATAAAGCTTGATTGTTTTCCCCACATCCCAATATCATAATCCCCTATAAATATATGTAACTTTTTTCAGAGTAATAATGATGTCTTGTATGAGGAAATGGTGAATATAAATGATTCCTCCCAAAATATGTTAATAAAGTAGTAAATAATGTTTTGAAGATCAATAAATACATATTGCATATATATTCATAATTTCACAGTAATGTAATCCAAGCCCCATATCCAAGTTCCACCGAGCACACATTCTTGCTTTATGAGCATATATATGACAGTTAAATTATGTTTATCATTTTCACTGAGAATATTTGACATTTATAGGTTGTGCTAAAAACAAATTAGGTAATTTTACTACCTTAAAAAAGATAAACCCTCTACAAAAACTGGATGTTCTCTACTTTCAAAGGAGGATAGTCTCTGCTTCCAAATGTGTGAGTTTTACATCTTTTTTTGTTTCGCATAAAAGAAAAGAAATTGCAGACAGTGACAAGCTTTGTCAACCAAATCTCTGTAAGTAGGATACATCAGCTCTTGGTTAATAGCAATTTAAACAAGTCATTCCATGACTTAAATGAAATAAAATTATTGTAACAGTCTTCTTGCTGGCACAATCTGTATTGTCATTTTGTATATTTTGCAATGAACCATCTAACCAAGGTGAGAGGTGATTTCTGAAAGTGCAAATTTAACTATGCTTATCCCCTAGCTAGGGTTCTTTGGCATCTTTTCAAAGACATTACAATAGAGTTTTGTGTGATTCAGGATTTCCACTGGGAATGTCTCTAAGGTCCCAATTGTCCCTCTAAATGCGAGGCTGAAAAGGACACTTGACTTTCAGGTCTCCACCTTCTCGTTACGAAAGACATGTGAGTTAGATCTCACAAAACCTTCTAGTTACTTCATTCACTAGAAGAATTCTTGATAGATATTCAGGAAGTCCTGAATTTAAGGTAAGTATCATTGTAAAGTATCTTCAAGTTCTGTGCATTCCAATATATAACCCAAGCTGGAAAGAGGGGGATGCCTCAGTTACAAGTGTAATTATGTTTGTTATACTGAATATTTTAATATTGATCCTGTATATCAGAGAAGCCCTCAACAATACCATCCCTTTAACAGATCGCCTGGACAATATTTTGCCACAGTATTAATTAGTGCCCAACTTTCAGATTATATCCTATCATGATCTACAGACATTGAAATGGGGATCTAAAAACAGAACAGTAATTAATCAGCAAGCATCTTAGTTTTATGACAAGTAGACATTATTTGTAACTTGAGGCAAGAAAATCTAAAAAAAGCATTGATATATTTAATGCAGCAGGGGTCCCTGTGAACCTTCTCAAAATCCTACCATTTCCACTGTCGTCTCACTCTTTTCAAACGTGTGACTGATCTTCTTTTGCTGGTACATCAACCTTCATGTCTCACTGAGTTGCATACCCTTGTTTATCCAGTAAATACATTAATTCCTCTCAAATGTACACCCAAAATAAATATTTGACACCTAAAAATGTAGGCTTTACTTTAGCTTTCACTCTTATTTTTCCGAGATTTATCCTGCTACTTAAATACTGTAGGATCTCTTTCCATTGTACAAAATGTGAATAAAGATGTCTATGCCTCAGACTGATTTTAAGAATTAAACGAGAATGCAGAATAGATTATTAGAGTGTTGAAAACATTATAAATCTCAAGAAAGGGAGGGGCTTCTTTTACCTGAGTAAAAATTAAAATATGAAAAATCTCTAAAATTTATTCTAAAATCAATACAAACTGCCTACAAAATCAGCAGAAATGAAAAT